CGTATCAGGAGGGGCGTATCAGGAGAGACGTATCAGGAGGGGCGTATCAGGAGAGGCGTATCAGGAGGGGCATATGACGAGAGGCCTATCAGGAGAGGCATATCAGGAGAGGCGTATCAGGAGGGGCGTATCAGGAGAGGCGTATCAGGAGAGGCCTATCAGGAGAGGCGTATCAGGAGAGGCGTATCAGGAGGGGCGTATCAGGAGAGGCGTATCAGGAGGGGCATATGACGAGAGACGTATCAGGAGAGGCGTATCAGGAGAGGCGGACGAGGAGAGGCGTATCAGAAGGGGCATATCAGGAGAGAACTATCAGGAGGGGCGTATCAGGAGGGGCGTATCAGGAGGGGCGTATCAGGAGGGGCGTATCAGGAGGGGCGTATCAGGAGGGGCGTATCACGGGAGGCAGTAGAGCAAAATAATTGGGAATATGAATTCTAACGGCAGACTTCATGAGCTCAAATCCGAGCTCTTCTGTTTAATCGTTCTACGACCTTTAGCAAATTATTTGGCCTTATGGGGGCCTCTAATGGTGATACTTATGGCACCTACCACATAAAAGATGTGAGAATTAAATGAGATAATATTTACAAAGAGCATAACACTGTCTTGGTATGTACTTAATAAGCATTAGCTATATTAGCTACTATTACTGGTTGCTGTAGAAAGCACTGAGTTCTTAAATGGAAAAAAAACTTGAAATAGACTTAATAAAGTATTAGGTAACACACCTGTTAGCAAAGATAACCCAAGATCCAAGTGTCTTCATTCAAAATCACATTCTTGTCACATATTCTGCAGATCAAAACTAGTCAAGTCAGCACCCTTGCCCTGTAGAAATCTCACCTCTGATGAATCCTTACTGGCCTTAGCCAATGAAACGCACAGCCAAGCTCGGCACATCTTGTATTTACCCAGATATGTGGGTGCTTGTTTCCCTATTTGTCAAAGAAAAGCTATTTGCCTGACAGCTCTATTGTGCCAAGAGCCTGCAATGCCACTGACACACAGAATATTGTAAGTGTTCATGGAACTCCAAAGCACTGGTTGTGTGATTCATGAAGCTGTAAACCCATCAAATAAAATATGTGGGTTATGTGTTTAAAACACAAAACTCACAGTAAATTACCAACCCCAGAATTCAGATTTCATTAATTTCTCCATTCTATTTTACACAATCAAGATCCAAAAATATTTATTTACTGTAGCGCTGGAGTCCTAGATGTGTACCTTAGCCACAAAACAAGAAGCCTAGTGTCAACTTGACTAACCTAGGAATTCACTGTCTTAGAGACCTTATCTCTACCAAAGGATAAACCAACTGTTCCTCGGTTTCCTCCTAGGGAAATGAGTGAATTCATTCCAAAGGATTTATGAAGCGCTTTGTACTAACACAGGAAAAGGCACCAGTTATGCTCATGTTTCTATTATCATTCTGTTTTTGTGTTTTTTTCTTTTATTCAAACTGCATCTGTAGGTGGCTCAAGCTGCCGGCTTCTCCTTTGCCTGCTTCCACTGGAGTGCTGCAGGGGCCATGCTGGCCTCTCACCGGGGGCTGAGCTCACAATGCTTTAGCAGGACTCTGTCCCTGAGGCAACTTTAAGCAGTGGGCAGCAGCACTCAATGAGAACAGAGATTGGAATCAAATGTGTCTGAGACAGAATCTTTATTACATGCATCCGCATAACATCTGTTTCACCGTATCATTCTGCCTTTCTTTCTCCAAATATGTAGCTGTCCAACACGCACCAGGCTATATGGGAGGCTCTGGGATTCTGATGGGAATAAGTTCCTCTTTTTCAGAGGTGAACAAGTATTGTTCTTAAATATGAAGATCTTTTCTTCACCTCTGAGTCAGATATAGCCCTTGACCTGAAGGAGTTTGCAGCCAAATAGGGGAGGTGGCCATGTACACAGATTGTTATAATGCAATATGCTAAATGCCCCACTTTAAAGCAGGCACAGGATTTACTGGGAGCACAGGGTTTGAGGGGAAGAAATGGCTCCAAGAGGAGGTTGCATGTGAGCAAGCAGGAACAGGGCATCCCAACAGAGAGAAAAGCGTTGCAAAAGCTAAGAGCCATGGGAGAGTAGAGCATGTTCAGGAGGCTGCAAAGAGCTGCCTGTGGCTGAGATAAATTTCACAGAACTGAAGGGCTATGTAATGGACATTTCTTCATAGTCTTTCAGCTTGAGTACAGTGAGGGGGCATGATATTCAAGCTAGGCTTTCCTAGGAGGGATGTAATGATGAAGTGTAAACACACACACACACACACACACACACACACACAAACTGCCAGATACTTTCTGTCTCAGAAATCCTAGGTTACTGCATGACTGCCTCAGCCACTTCTAATTTAGCTCACTGCCCACAGCTGACGCCCTCCATAAAAATCGATGTAACACAGTCCCATCACCCATTGCTGCTGTTCCAAAATCAATCAGGCTATGGTGGAATTTTTTTTTTTCTTATCTTTGCCTTTGACCTTAACTAAGGCTGTTGCCACTTGATCGTCCATGCAGCAAACAGTGCCATATGCAGGTATGAAAGCAATGGGAGCAGTCTTCTCAGCCCTAGTCATTCTCTTCTCACTTCGGGGTTCTCCTCTTGCCTTCTCCTCAACCTGTCTCAGAAATTGTATCAGCCTGTGTCAGAGGTTAATATGTCATGAGGGCGCTCGCTGCTGATGTGTAGGTGCAAGGCATGACCGCCTCCCCCACAGCCGCACTAACTGTCAACGTGACTCCGGCCCCTCTGTGTCCTCTCAAGACCCAGGTTACGTTCCTCCCATCTGCCCTGACCTCTCCAGTTGCCCCTCTTCAGCT